TCCAGTAGCTAGCAAGTTGGGGCCTCGTGTGTGTACCACTTCTCAAATGTAGCCTTATGCTCTGCTTCTTCTGGCATTCAGATCAGCTGCGTGTCATGATTATTTAGTGAAGGGAGATGCAACCCTCTATTGTATCTATACATCACTATGAATCAAGCAGGAATTATGAATAGTCTGGACTGATGGACATCATCCCTGCATCTCTCCTTTTTTTTCTGTCCTGCAGGAAGAATTCATGTGAGCCAAGGCTGGCCTCAGCTGTCTGCCCAGTGTGGAGACTACTGTTCTTTTTCCCCCTTTGATCAAGACAGGGTTTCTCTGTGCGGACCAGGCTGACCTCAAATTCACAGAGATCCACCTGCCTCTGCTTCCCGAGTGCTGGGATTAAAGATGTGTGCTGCCACTACCTGGCTGTGGTGACTATATTTTTGAGAGAACAATGCAGGGCAGTGAGTTGGCTGCTGTTCTTGCTCCTGGTTTCACATGGCACGGCTTTAAATTATTGAGTGGCTGGAAAGGCGTAATGACATCCTATTTCATTTGGTTCTCTCCTGGGCTGTGAAGCAGATCGATACCTCAGCTAGATGTGGCAGTACAGCTTAGGCAGGACCTCCCTCTGCCATGGATGCCTTAAAGGCAGGAACTCAACTACATTTCCAGACCCATAACTTTCTAGGCCAGGTTCCCGGCGAGCCTCGGTGCCTTGTGGCACCTTCCCCAGAGTCACTTCCAGGGAAACCTCTGCAGACCTGGGGAGAGGCCAGGAGGTGGGAGGGGTGTCACAGGTCTGGCCTCCTTCCTTTATAGAGTGGAGGTGTCAGTGGAGTGGCAATGTGTGGGGATACGTCACCCCACAGTTCAGTGGCCTCCTTTCCTCTGTGCTAGAGAACACAGAGGTCTCTGGAGACCAGGATGTACACCATGGCCCCTAGTATGAGAAAGACTTAGTATCACCTGGCAGTTTTGATGCTGGAGACAGAGCCAGGCAGGAACTGGAGGCTGAGCCCTGGAATGACATGGCAGTGATTGGCAAGTCCTTGGGAGTGGGGGGCACTAACTTAGCAGGGCTCAGGAGAGGCTGCTACAGGGAAGAAGCTCAACCAGAGCCCACAGTCTGAGCCTGTGCTTTCCAGAGTAAGCATTCATGACAGCCAGGGGCAGAGCCTGATAAGGTATGGTTCAGCAGGACAGGCCCCCTGCTTTGACCATTTACTTCATGTGTGGCTCTTAGATTCTTGTGTCCTTTGTAGGTAATGACAGATCTGGGAGGACAAAGCACTAATGGCACAGGGCTCATTTTCTCCCAAAATGTCTGGCTACATTCTACTGGCTGCACTTATCAATAGTGAATGCCCCGGTTTCTCTGACTATGAAGTGGAGATGATAAGACCCTTGAAATAATGCATATAAACAATAGGACTTGGTACGGAAGTATCTTAGCCCTGCTGTGACTGCCTTGCTGGCTTGGACCCTCCAGTACAGGTTCAAACCTATTCCCCCTTTCTCCACCCTGAGCCAAACCCTATGTGAGATCCATCCAACTCTGGCGGCCGCTGAGGTCCCTCTGTCTTATGAATAGCCTCCCCACCCCCTCAACCCCCCCCGTCTCATTCTTCACACACCTGCCACACCCCACCTGCTGTCACCATGAAGCTGACGCTAGAGGCTCCATCTGATATCCTTCCATACTTCTGGGGGTCTTGTATCCTCAAAAGGAAGTAGATACTTTCAAATGGTCTTCATTTTGAAGCAACGCAAAGGCCATGATGCATGGCAGGGACCTAGGCTTGTCCCTTGGGTATGGATGGCAAAAGAAAGAGCCCTCATCCTAAGCACAGCACATGTGTCCCAGGGAGCCTCACGGGCCCTGGCCATGAGGGAACTTCCTCTGAGACACAGCAGGATGGGCTGAGCTTGTCAGCTGCACTGTCACATTCAGATGTAAGCATCAGCTTCTTTTGTCTCCTTCATCGTGTATCTTCATGTTTCAGGAACACACTTAAGTTTATAACCTGGGAGTCTATGCCTGAGAGAAAGCAGTGATTGGCTCGTGGTTCTCAGAACTAACTAGGCCACAGGTCAGGAGCTATCTCTTTGTTCTGTGCCTCATCCCACAGTAACCTACATTCCATAGTCAACAGTTAGGATACTCTCCTAAGGGTAAGAGTGACATAGCACCCTTCAATGTCCCTAAGGCCAGCTGGGGGTTCTGACAATCCTGTCCTGTCTCCTATGCACCCTGTCCCCTTCCTGCTGGCTTTGAGCATCATTTTGAATGGTCTACCAGCTCCAATATCTTGATCTAATAATACAAAAGATCTCTTCAGATACCAGTCTCCAAGCTAGGTGAATACTGGGTCAGAACGCAGGAGACATGTGGATGCTCTTGCCTTTAAATGTTTCCTGATCACAAAGAAAGTAGATCCCATGAAAGCCAGCCCTGTACGGATAGATCCTCCCTGGAAGGGCACAGATCAATGATGAATCTGAAGTTGCCAGCAGTCTCAAGGTGTTCGACCACACTCATCCCTTCCCTGGTGCTCTGGTGCCTAGGAAAGCTCTACCCCTTCTAGGATTTTTCAGAAAGAGAGACTAGTCAAGTTGAATGCCCTATCTTAAGCCATATTCTGTTGCTGTGACAACATGCCTGAGTCAGGTAGGTTATTAGAAACAGAGGTCCTACGACTCATGAGTCTAGAGGCTAGATATTCAAGACTGTGTGTCTTCCACATCTTATAAGCTTCTGCCTCTGCGTCTCAGTGGTCAGTGAAGAGTGCTTGTGGTCTGGCTATTAAGGGTGCAGAGCCTCCTGTGCTCTCGTTGAAGCCTCTGGCTCCCTCTACAGGCAGGCTGCTCAAACAGCAGCAGTGGAACTTTGCAACACTTAATGGTTGGACTTGGTTTTCCTAAGTCATCGTTGACTGCAATCATGAATGGATCCGAGTGAGGCTGGGCCATGCTTTGAAGGAGGTGATGGCTCACATCTATCCCTTCGTCCACAGTCCCCGTTATCTTGACTATTGTTTATTCAGCATTGGCTCTAGGCTAGCAGCTTTGAACAGTTTTCCTTGTACTGCTAATTTAACCCAAAGGTATTCATTGGGACTGGGAAGGTGTGGAAACTGAGGCATCAAGAGAAAGCAAGTGGCTGAGGTCACCCACAGGTCACAGCCCTGCAGACTCAGAGCAAAGATCTGGCTTAATAGATTCAAATAGACTGATTTACTACAAGTCAGATCCAGCCCTGCAGGGTTCTGTGCCTTGTAAAGCTGCAGCTGGGTCAGCTCTACCTTGGTTATCAACCTCCTGGGTGGCTGGGACCAGGACCTATGGGTTGTCATAAGTGCCCTCTCAGAGGGACATGCCAATTCCTCTAGAAGTCACAGGCCACTGCATGCTGAGCTCCAAGACCAGTCTACAAGCACAGGCTGCCTGACTTGTAGGGCCTCTGCCAAGAAGTGTGACAGTGGCCTCCACTAGAGGAGAAGACATCACAGCCAACACACCAAATGTCTTTACCAGACTGTGAATGTGTGTATGTGTGTGTGGGGGGGTGTGGGCATGCTGGTACTTTGGCCCCAGGTGAGAGACAGGAAACATGGATAGCTTCTCAAAGGACTCAACCTGCTAGACAGTATCCGTCCTGCCTTCTCCCACCCTGTTCCTTCAGTAAATGTTTTTCCAGTGCCTGTTTCATGCCTGTGGAAGGCACTGGAATGGCACGATGGAATAGTATCAGAGCACTCAAGGGTCTTTGGCAGATGCTAGGACACATAAGCATGAGCTCACCAGGTCCTAAGAACGATCCTAAAAGATAGGGACTGTCCTTAGGTCTAACCAGTGGAGGCAGGTGGAGTCAAAATACATTTCTGGAGCAAGTAGAGACCAGTCTCCATCAGCAAGTTTTCTGGGCAAGAGATCCCAGAGGCAGCCCTGCTCTGTTGTGGACACCTGGGGCTGCAAGTACAGCTGCCAGCAGAGTCTCTTGGTTTACAGGATGTAAAGGAATGGGCTACTCCCTCGGGGCTTCTGCTCTTTACCAGAGCCTTTGTTTTCCTGGTCTCCTTCGAAATAGATGGACGATACTGATCACTGGGGAGGAATTTCTGCTTCTGCCTCAGTAGTACTTGGAACAGCCCTGACCCGGGTCAAACGTCCCTGGCCTGTGTCTCTTCATGCAGTGCCAGATCCTGTATGTTCTCATTCTGAGCCCTGCGCATCCGTGCTCTCTCATCTCTCTAGGCTGTCTCCTTCCAGTCTCTTGTGCCCACCTGTTGTCACCACTGACATAAGGCAGGATCCACCTGCGCCTCCCTATGCCCACTTTCCTTTCAGTCTGTGTTTCCACGCCCTGCTCTGGACGCCTGACGTCACAAGGGAATCGATTACAGTGTGGGCAGGATGGCGAGAGGGCAGGATGTGCCAATGCCTCCTCAGCGTGCACCGCCTAGCGTCAGCCGATCCGTAAGAACGACGTCTAGGGCACAAGGCGAGGTTGCCTACAGTCTAGCTTGGAGTCCAGACACCTGAGTCTGGATCCCAACTCATTCAGACTTCGCCCTGGGTGTGTGTTGTCTTTAAATCCTGTTCCTGCTTCGCTCTCCCGCTTTTCCCCCTCCGCTTCAGTTTCCCTTTTTCTGTGCACTGGGAAGGTCTGCTGCTGAGACCTTCCACCACTCTTGTAGAGTTGCTCCAAGATCGCTTTTCCCTGAGCCTGCTTCTTTGAGATTCCAGTGCTGAGATGAGCTGCGGTCCTACACGCCTCGCTTAGGCGCTGTTGACAGGTCTGCAAAGCTCTCGGAGCAGGTGCAGGAGGGTACCTGCGCTACTACCAGTCTGCGCCTGAGCGGAACACACAGCCTGCCGGGACTTGTAGTCCTCACGTCCAACTGCGGTGGCGCGCAGGCGGGCAGCGGGGGCATGGCGCCTACACTTCCCAGGATGCGACCCTCCCGCGGCTCGATAAGGGGAGGGGCCTAGATAAGGGGCGGGGCAAAGGGGCGGGGCGGGAGCCCCGAGCTGCGGTGGCGCTGCGGGCAGCGGGTACTGTGTGCGACAAGCCGCTGGCCTCAAGCGTGCTGAGGATCGTGCCAGTGCCGCACCTGCCGGCCCGGTCCTCGAGCTGTCTCAGCGCGGGGACCACCCTACTGGGAACTGCCGCTGACATGAGTGCAGGTGAGAGCTGCGACCGGGGATCCGCAGGTTCGTAGCTGCAACCTCAGTAGGGTCTCGAGGACTGAGTACACCTGCAGTGCGTAGCCAATTCCTCTAGCCAATTCCTGAGCCCAGCGGCTCCACCCGACTTTTTTTTTCCAGGGTGTGCAGCCCCGAAAGGCCGGCCTGCAGCCTCTGTTTCTGAACCGGGGGCGCTTAGCGACATATGCCGGAATCCCTTCCCACCGTGTCAGCTAGGGTGTCTGCGCAGAGCTGTCTGGCGGGTGTCACTCCTTGCTTCTCATGGGGGTCCTAGGTTGCTTCAGTAAAGGGACCCGGGTCCTGGTAAGGGGCCCTGGGTCGCCACAGTCCTAACCGTGGAGAGAGGTGTGATGACAGGCGGAGCTTTGCAGCAGGGGACTCCGCCCTTGCGTGGTTCCCGCAGAGCCTGGGTGGTGGCGTCTGGCAGACCCTGAGCTCCCCAGGTTCGCCTTGCAGATCTGAGTGCCAGAGCCTATATGTGTGTCAGTCCCAGAGCTGTCTGTGCGCTGTTGTCCTTCTAGCCCTTCAGTCGTCTCAGCCCTACCTCTCTCGCCGCACCCACTCACAGGGATTTGACTGCCTCTGTGCGATGCTGGAAAAATCCCATGTCCCTGCAACCCAGCAGCGCCTGTGCTCAGAGGGAAACTGAGATCTATACCTGGAAGGCCTTGGCTCAGGGAGCACCTCAGAATGCACCCATCTGACAGCCTCAAGAGTTCGGCTTACAGGAAGGGCTGATCCTTTCATTCCTTAGGAGAGAGGGGCTGGCCTCCATTTTCAGGAGCCGTGGGATGACCAGACTTCAATGACTTGAGCTCTGACAAATGATAGAGATTTGAATCCAAGGTTCCCTGACTCCAGCATGCTTCCTGTCCAAGCTGAAGTTGCTACTGATATCGCACAGCCCTTGGCTACATTGCATAAACCAATGGGTACAGCAGCTTCCTGTAGGAGAAAGTGGACAGCGAGGGAATGAGCTTGGGGACAGCGCCCAGCCTGGAGTACCTCCTCCAAGGGGACTGTCCCCTCTCCTTCCTAGCCAAGGCAGGAGGGACTTCTCCAGTGGATGTTGAGAGTAAGTGAGAGCAAGTGGTATGAGAGGTGGGATCCCTCCTGAGATGGCCGACCTGTTACCTGTGGGTGTAAGGAGAGGGTATCCTCAGACTTGGCGGGACCTCCAGACATTTATCTGATGGCGGTGGGGATAATGGCTGGGTGTGTGCGGGTTAATTTCATGCTTTCAGACCATAATTGGTACCTCTGGTTCTCCTGTAATCAGGAGCCCTCAGAGGGAGCACAGGTGCCCACTCCTTGCATTTGTAGTTTTTGTCCCCAGGGGAGGAGGGCTGGGATTGTCATGGCAAGAAGACTGACTGGGTTTTGAACTATGGTATGTGTCTGATGGTCTTCGCCCTGGGATACTGTCCCAGTCTTGGCTTGTTCACCTGGAACTTTGGTTCCCCTCTAAGCAGGGAAACCCTGCACACAGCAGCCCCTCAGGAGTGTGGATGGTTGTTGTCATTGCTGGGTGCTCTGGGCTCCATTTAGAAAGAGAACACAAGTGCTGTCTGGCCCACTTGTGGATCATGTCTTAGCTTTGGCCAGCTTAGTGCTTGCACAGCAGAGATTCGCCCTCATCTACAGGAGGAGAGTGAACAGAGGCACATGGGTCCCAGTGTGTGGCTACTGTGTACATATGGCAGGCCAGGAGCTTTCATTGTCAACAGGGAAAGACTCCACTGTCCCATCCCGGGAATGGCTGCCATAATTCTGGAACCTGGCACAGACAAATGTCAGGGAGTGATAGTGGTTCTGTCCATACCCAGATGGGCAAGTGATGGGAGACCTTGGCAACCTGTACTCTGTCTTTGGCTAGAAGATCCTTCCCAATTGTAGTGAGGACAGAGTAGGTGCTGCTGGGGCATGACAGTGACAGCCCAGTGCTGCTCCATACTAATTCTGGTGTGTCTCTAAGGCCTGTGGATGGCACCCTGGCTGTGGTGGCCTGTTGATTTCAAGTGACCAGGGAAAGGCTTACAGAGTGCTACAGCAAGGCAGAAAGAGATGCTTACCCATGGCATATGGTCTTGTTCTGAATCCAGAGTACTAGTCATGCCGGTCTCTGTGCCTCAGTTTCCCCAGATGTATGGAGGCAATCTCTATAGTTGTATGTGCAGTATAAAGTGGGCCTGTAAGGTGGTGTTGGGAGTGAGTCTGCACTGCAGCCCATGTAGCCACAGTGAGACAAGGGGGCTGAGAACCAGGAATGGATATGATGGACCCCCTGCTGGCTCTGCCACCATGCACTGGGTCTTGAGTAAGGCCTGTGTACTTGCTAAGCCTAGATGTTCCTGGCGGTGGCTGTAAGCCTGACTGAACTGAGATAGAGGTGTGTGTGTGTGTGTGTGTGTGTGTGTGTGTGTGTGTGTTATTCTGTAACTGAGTTCCACAGACCAGGGGGCTTTATGAGAGAAATCTGTTTTTGGATAATCCTGGAGCCAAAAAAACCAAGATCAAGGCATCTTCAGACTGATTTCTTTCTGCTTGGCTTGCATTCCCTTCCTGTGTCCTCACAGAGTTGTCCCTCTGTGTGTCTGTGTCTTGCAATCTTCCTCTTCCAAGGACACCAGACTGATTAGATGAGGGTACATAAGTGACCTCATTTCATCCTGATGACCTCTGTCAAAGCCCTGTCTAAGGTGCTGGGGCCAGGATGCACTGTGAGGATTCTGCTCATAACAGATGAAGGACTGGGGACCTGGCTCGGCCACCTTTTACTCCTGTGGCTGCTGTGTAAGCAGCTGGAAGGGACCCGAGGATGCTCAGGATGTACCCACCCCCACACAGGACATCGGGGCCTGGAGAAGGACAGGCACCCATCCAGGGTCAAGGAAAGTACTTTGTACATCCAGAAGCAGCCTGGCATTCTAATACACTTGGAATGTGGCACTCAATCCTCCTAGCCCAGGAGTGGGCAGCATGTGACCACGAGCTGTCTGTCTGCTTGGGTACCAGTAACATAGCAGAGCAGGTCACCAGCCATGGTGGGGAACAAAGAATGCTGGCCTGGGGAACAAAGAATGCTGGCCATCTGCTGTGTGTCTGTGATGCTCTAGGCTCTGAGACTGCAGCAAACAAGAACTTGAGGAAATGATCAGTTTCTTGAAACACGCATCCTAGGTGGGTGTGGAAGGCATTAACAATTGATACACAATGGTCTCTCAGTGTTAGCAGAAAATGTTAAGGAAACCAATTTCCCTGAGAAACAGCAGAGGGGAGGGAGCTGGAGAGGTGGCTAAATGTTCTAAATGGTTAAGAACACTGGTGCTCTTCCCGAGGCTGAGGGTTTGATTCCCAGCAGCCACTTGGCTGTAACTTCAGTTCCAGGGGATCTGATGCCCCCTCTGGCCTCCTCAGACACCAGGCACACAGGTAGTACACAGGCATACATGCAGACAAAACACTTGTACACATAAAAAATAAAATAAATAAAAAGTAGCAGTGGAGTGTGAAATGGCGCATCCCTTCATGATCTCAGCTCTGCTACACAAGGAAGAATGCCTCAGCAGGAACATGGCCGGCCGGCGTGGCCGAGGCAGCGTCTGAGATGGCCACTCACTGCCTGCTCTTCTCTGTAATGAGGAGCAGAGTTGTTTTGGTTCTGGGAATGGTGATACAGGGAAAGGGCATGTTGCATTCTGTAGGAATCACTGCCCTTCACACAGAGCGCAAAGGGGCATCATTAGAATGCCAGGCTGCTTCTGGCTGCACAAAGTACTTCCCTTGACTCTGGATGGGTGCCTGTCCTTTTCTAGGCCCCGATGTCCTGTGTTGGGGTGGGTACATCTGGAGCATCCTGGGGTCCCTTCCAACTGCTTACACATTGTCCATGGTTGGGTAGAGCCAAGCAAGCACAGGAAGGCACAGTGTCCCATCTCCTCTAACAACCCCACTGTGGGTCAGGTGTAACAGAGAGTAAGTCCCCTAACCCTGAAATGTGTCAGGAGTCACATCTGGCCAGGACTCTGAGGATCATGGACTGGCATTCTCTGGTTCCACATGCCCTATATCCCCAATCTGACCTTTTTTCCTATGATCAATGTTAATTTCTAAGCTAGTTACCCCAAATTAAGTTTCTGATAATGAGGTAGTTTGGTATTTTCTAGAATCAGGTTTAAAGTTGATGAACTCTTGGGAAGTCCATTGATATCCCAGGAAGGAGAGTGTCCTGTGATCCTTTAAGTGTTTCTAAACCACCTGCCCAACACACTGTAGAGCTATGAGCAGGGGGAGAGAGGAAGGTGAGTCCCAAGAAAGGCCCTGTCCTGTCAGTGGCCCTTTAAAAGGGGACACTGTCTATTATCAGGGCCAGTCCGAGCCACAGTTGCTGACGCTGACAGCTGTTGGGAGAAATGGATGCTGGCCCCATGTCCACCCCGATCTACAGTCTGTGCTGTTCTCTGTATGGGCGCCTTGAGCCCTTCCTTGTACTTTCCTGTGGGCTGTACGAGCCTCAGAGGAGGTGTGGGAAGACCGTCGCTGGAATCAGGGCTCCTGGGCTGGCTGGCTTCTTGCCTCTGCTGTCCTCTGTATTTCCCTGACCATATGTCAGAGTCTTGGGGAAACCAAGGATACTAAGCCCTCAGTACCACTGCCAGCTGCCTGGCAGAGCCTCAAAGAGCAGGTAAAAGAGCCACAGCAGGAAGATATTGTGACAGGCAGTGTCAGCTCCCGGATTTAGTCAGTACCATGTGCTGTGATGGGGGCTTCTAGGCTGCTTCAAGCATGCCGGGCTATGACCACGTTGCTGCAGAGCCTTGGGGCTGCTGGTCGCTGGCAGGGTAACTTGAGTGCCTCATCTCTGTTTACTCCGGGAATATTTCCACCACCACACAGCTCAGGGCTTCTAGGGTATCCGCAGCACCCGGGTAGGACAGACAGGCTTATATGTCACCTCAGTAACTGTGCTCACGGGTGCT